GGGACATATAGAATAAGAAGAACATCTGGTTAGTACGAAAGGACCATCAGGTGCACATCTCTGGTGTATCTGCTATTATTTATATCGATAAGTTATAATGGTACCGCAGAGTAGCTACATGTGTTAAGGATAAGATCTGAAAGCATATAAGATCGAAGCTGTTCTTTAGAAGCTAGCGTCTATCATAGATAGACGAGCAACAGGATGTAGACCACGTCCTTGATAGGTCACATGTGTAAGCGTTGCAAGACGTGAGCTGAGTGATACTAATGAGTTGCTAGACTTGGTGATACCACATTGTTCCCCTTACCTTACTGCTAATAAGCGTAAGTATAAGTATAAGTAAATCACACGGAGGAAAGCCTAATGGCCGGGCGCTTCATTTGGGTTGAAGAACGTTTGGGTTCGATTCCCAATTCTCCGATTTTATTTACATATAAGAAACTAACAATATAATACAACATATACAACATATAACCACAACCACAATCAGTCGGCCTCACTATAAAGGGACTCCTCGAGCTAAGATACTCGCCTCGCAAGCGAGGCGCTGATAGAAACTTAAACAATGTTATTAACATAACTAGTCTCTCTCTTATACTCGCATAAAAGGGGAGGTTAATAATTATCTATCGACTTTGTTGGCTAATCCAAACTTTCATTGTGAATGCACCTAACTTGTTCTTAGCAGTGTGTTTGCTATAATCAACTGTACCAAATTGGCCTTTAGCTGATGAACCTAGTCGTCCAGCTTGTACTGTTTGTCGTGGACCAGAACGTTGTGTAGTTAATCGTCCTGATAGTTTGATTTTCACTCCTGTGATGTGAGATGTAGGAGTTACAGTACTGTCATCTACTGATCCTTCAGAAACTACTGTTGGTAAGCTTCCTTTCAGCATATCTAAGATACGGTTGAATGAATATTTACCAGCGTTAGCAGTTAAGTATTGAGCGAAGATTGAACTGTCTAGAGCTGAGTGGTTAAGACGAATTAATCGTAACTCAACTGTTCGACCGAAACACCGTGTAAGAGCATCTCCTAATGCTGCAATACTTGCGTTAGTTAAAGTATCAGTGGCTGTACCCATGTAGAATAGCTGTACAACTGCCTTATCGGCACTTACAGTAAATACTGGCTTACCTACTAATGTCTGGAACTTAACAAAGAAGGATTGAATGATTGAAATAGCTTGACGTTGCATTGACATAATGTTAGTTCGGTTAGATTTATCAAACATGTATGTTGTAGTCATATTTTAAAACTTAGCAGATTGTATTCTACTTTTCCTCACCGCCTCCCGCCAGGGGAGTAAGCTTACCTCCTACAAGGAGGGTAGTAAGAAAACTAGGCAATAGATACTAGTATCTACCGCTGTGTATAAGATGTGTTCAAGGATTGAGTACACCGAAGTTAATGTAGTACCTACTTAATAGGAAACCTACCATTCTCTATACCATAATGTAGTGTGATACTTTGTTTGTCTCTTATATGTTTAAAAATATTGGGTAGGCATGACTCGAACATGCGGTAGCGTCAGCTAACTTATTTACAGTAAGTCTCCTTAACCAACTAGGAAAACTACCCATATTATACTATACTATATACTTACTTTCCTATTATTTGAGAGTTGCCAAAGGAAGGATTCGAACCTATCACTACCTAGAACTTCAGTCCAGTGCATTACCAACTATGCTACTTTGGCTATATATTTGGAGATAGCTGGAATCGAACCAGCGTCGCAATGATGCAAACACCGCGTAATGCCATTATACTATATCCCCTACACTATATGCTATATACTTATAAGAGTAATACTATATATAAGTATGAAACGGGCAAGATGAGATTCGAACTCACAGATAGGGAATACCTATACGGTCGAATAGCAATCGACTTCACTTTGCCAACAGATGACTTGCCCCAACATTTTCCTAGCGCCTCGAGTAAATATAGAAACAACAGTAAGACCTATAGAAAGTATACTAAATTTAATCAGG